GGCTCGGGACGTCCGGCATCGAAGGCACAGGAAAACGTACCTCGGATCAGCGGAACCGGAGGAAATGCACTCCACCAGCTCCAGAAACAGGCCTAATTTAGGACGGACGCGTGGGACCCAACATCACTCGCAGGAGCTGCAACGAAAACGGCCATACAGCGGCTTGCCGGAGCCATGCCCTCTTACAAAGCGCAGGTCCGCGAGCGCAGTTGCGGAGACCCTTGCATCTCCTGTGTTCGATGTGGCAATGGCGGCTGCCGCCCTGGCATGCTTGCACGCTGAGACATCGGCTGAGGGGCTTTGGGGCTGAACTTCTGCCATGGCAGGTATGCTGAGGGCGCTATAGCCCTCGCCCCCACAGCAGGACGGAAGGCGCGCGCCCGCGCATCACGAAGGATCCGCGACGGGGATGCAACACACAACGCCAGCTGCAGGAACGGGTCACGGCATTGCAAGTCAACGACGGCGGCTGCCAAATAGAGACCTGGTGCTGCTAAGCAATGCGACATTCCTGCCTCACACTTGCCAGGGCACTTCGCCGGCGAGAGACAAGAGCTCAACTGAAGCAGCACGAGCTCGGCACCACAGCACAGACTTGCTTCTGTCTCCGAGGTGGGAGCCATGTCAAAGCACGCTTGCTCATCTCACAGACGTATGCATAAGCAAATCACGGCCAAGGGAGTCACTTGCCAGGTGTGGGCTCGGGTTGCACAGGACACACTAGCTTGGCCGTCATGCAGCAAAGATCTGCATTATCTTGAAAACGAATTGCTAAGCGCGTCCGCCGACACACGAAGTCTTATGCTCTGTCCTGAAGTACAACCCGAGTACGTCGACATGCTGTGTCCGTGAGGGGCAGATTTCGGTAACATGTAGCCAGGAAGCGCGGGCAATGTGAGCGACAACAATTGCAAGCTTCAGGATGGCAACATGGGATTTACCACCATAGGACATAGATTCTGTCAAGTGGAATTGTGAAGACGAACCGGTCATGCAAAGACCCGGAGCTTGCCTTCTGGACTCTGTCCCATAGACATGGAGACTCGAAGAAACCGGCATGCCTGTCGTGCTCAGTTTGCCCGAAATCTACTCCTGGTGCATGCTAGCGGGCCGAAGGGCGATTCAGACGCGCGGTCGCGGCAGGGGTGTGCCGTTCACGTGTGCGACGCACTTGGTGAGCGACATGCAGCGGAACCCAGCAGGACAGGCACGGCGGCTACAAAATGGAGATAGGAGGCTGGGCTCTGCCACTGTGCGATACCAGAGCTTGTCTGCGCAGGGGCCACCGAGAAGGTGCCGGGCTCACACCGGGTGGCCCAAACCGAAAACTTGGGACATCAGGACTCGCGTCCCCGGTGTGCACCCCAGCTTCTCGGCCAAAAGGCCTCCAAGAAATGGAGAAATATTGGCGAATAGGATTCTTGCTCTGTGAGACTTCTCGAAGATCACCTTGGCTGGGCTTGGTTTGCAAAATGCTTACCGCAAAATGGTGCGAAAGGCCTCCCTCTCTCTCTCTCTCTCTCTCTCTCGCTCGCTGTCTTCGAAAGCTTTCTCGGCAACCTTCATTAAGCGATCCCTCCTCGGCGGGATCCGGAACTTAGGGTCCCGGCATCTCAGGGCCACCTGGCGCAAGGTTTGCGGCTCTGAGGTACAAAGGGAGGACCGGGGGAAAAAAGCCACCTTTACGGCTTTCCGGCGTCAGGCTTCCGCTGCCGCGCGGCATGCACCTCGACAGATGGTAGCAGCATTTTCTGTCTCGGGCCTTGAAGGGAGTCGGAGGCTCGGGCAGTGACAGGGTGAGCAGATGAGAAGGTCCGATGCCCACAGACTCTTGAGCCCTGTCAGGACCCTGCGAAACGCAGCGAAATGCAGGCAGTACAAACATCACCACTTGATCTATCACGCTGAAACGAGGACCATGGCATAGCTGCTTTGACTCTTTTGATTCTGCACACGGCCTCCATTGCATCCTAGGACCGCGCAGAGGTGTACAGCTGTGGAGCGGGCTGCTGTGGGAATGCTCTTTTCGCTCTTCTGCACTATCCGATTGCAGAGGAGCCCTTTCTGTAAAGCCATACTCATGCTCATCTATTGATATCTGCGATGATGCGTACCCATGAAGCTGAACAACATGACACCTGCCTTGGACAATTCCTAGGTGATGTTCAGCTGCTCTTCGCGAAGATGAGAAAAGCAAAGTAACAGAGGCAACCTAGCATCAGAGCAGAATGACAGTGAGTACAGACAGGTGTGCATAAGTGAGTGTGATGTGAAAACCAACAGCGACATGCTACCGGTTAGCGCTTTTTGGGCAGATCTCAATACAGGACACATCACAATACTGTGCAAGAAGTAGATATTTGATGCATCGCATGTTTAGTGTCGACTTAGCTGCCAAGATCATGCCTGATGCGGCTGGACAAACCAATGGAACCCAATAAGCATTGACGAGCACGAGAACCAAGTTGGATCCGGGAAGCTTAGATTCGGGTTCTCCTCCAACGACGTGATAAATGTGCGTTTTGACAATGTTGTGTTTCCAAGTATGTGCAAAGGATGGAAAAGCACACTCCCACAATGGCCCGTTGTGTTTGCTCTTCTGCTTAGGCATGAGGTGCTGGGTCGCATCGACATCGAGAACCGCCATGTTTGAACGAACGCGTAACAAGCCGCTTTTCGCTGCTTTCTACTGTTTTCATGCAATGCGGTCTGTAGTTCTTGTTCAGATATCTCATGTATAAACAGGATGCAATTAAGGCTTTGCAACTTCATGGGGCTCTTGGTACAGTTGAGCTCTCAGCGCTTCCTGCCGCCGGCTGCCTCAGCGTCAGCTCTGGCAACCGCCGGTCGCTCCGGTGAGAAACTTTTCACGTCTGGAACTTGGGAAGCCTAGCCTTTCTCTCATCCTGGTGTCCTTTCCATTCTTAGGCACCGGCTGGCACGGGCAATTCCACGACCTGGCTGCAAGCTTGCCTACAACAGCAATGGAAATGCATTTTAAAGTACCAAGGTTTCTTTGGAGCTTGGGATGCGAAGTTGCTGCTGCGAAGTGTCTACAGCTCCAACTCAGGATACCTCCAGCACGCGCGTGTGGACGTCGCGGGTCTCATCGTTCTCTGTGACGCGCTGCACATCCTTCTCCTCGCTCCGCTGAGGCTCAGGTCTGTAAGCAAGCTGCAGTAGCTCACACGAGACTGGAAAGAATTCACGGAAACACTTCCTTTGCAATACTCCTTTCCCGGAACTGAGGTCCTCCTTGACACGAAACTTTGTTTGCGGAGGGAACAGCACTTCGTTGGACCTTGCACAGGGTTCACATGACCTCACCTGGGACCTGCCTCTTCGCAACCGACCCAAAGCCAAACATCCGACACCGCACGCGAGCCCATCTGATGTTGCAACATATCCTGAAGAGAACCTAACCATACCAAAATAATACAAGGACTACCAGGGAATACTTCCATTAGTTTGATCAGAACGTCTTGTCTAAGGCGCCACCGAGCTCCCGACCCGCCAATGAAGCGCTTGATGCTCACCGGGGCAAAGACTTCACCTGTCTGCTTGCTCGGGTCGATGTTGCACCTCGGCTCCCAAAAAAGGCCGTGTCCATAATCGTAATAGGGTTTAATTAAGAAGGGCCAGCAAAGGGTTTATCTAGGTCGGAGGTTCATCAGGTATCCGGAATCGTGGCGCAGGTCTGTCGGAATCAGTCGCCAGACTTGCAGTCCATGGCTGAAGGGCTCGGAGGGATTCTCTCTTGGCAGAGACTCCACAGTCCCTAGGGCAGCAAACTCGGAGAGTAACCAATACATCGCCCTCCTAGTGGGATGGTCCAACATCAAGCCTGCGACGCAGACCCTCCCCGACGAACCTTGCGTCTTTTTGCAGGGCCCACGGCTCAATTTCAAAGTTCAGGTTGCCGTCGAAGGGCCATAAGCCTCAGGAAAAGGTGGCTCACAATCGCCGGTGCACAATGCAGCCATGATCGCCATCACCATCATCATCATCATCATCGTCATCGTCATCGTCATCGTCGTCGTCATCATCATGATCGACTACACCGCCTATTTCACATTCTACCTGTCTACCTGATGCTGATGCTGCTGCTGCTACTGCTGCTGCTGCTGCTGCTGCTACTGCTACTGCTACTGCTACTGCTACTCCTACTGCTACTACTACTACTACGCGCATAGCTCGGGGTTTGCCCGAGAAACTTCTTGTCC